AGCTAACACTTATTATACTTAAAATACACTTATTGAACACAGAAAGCAAAACTTCATACCTTCTCCCATGGAATCCGAACAGACAGAGCGCGAGGAGAGCATGGGGAAACCTTTCACAGACTATAATGGTATGATCCGTTAATTTTTCTTTTTAAACCCCGAGCTGACACTCAAAACAACAATCCATGAACTCAATATATTTAACAGTAGAGATAATAATTCACATGTTCATCCACAATACACTAAATTAAAATTAAAATAATAATTTCGAAACAGGAAGTTACCCGCTGTTTTGCAATGGATCTGTCGTCTTTTCAAAATAAAAGCTGCCAGTGCTCATATGAATTCCTACCGGAATAATCACTTCACAAGCTAGTGTAACAACATCACACTGCTACATTATGTCAGTGCCGGGTGTGGGGTAGGGGGGCAATTTCGGATTGGTAAGCAGGGTGCTCAGTTCTGTTGACGGGGTGGGGCACCTCGCTTGTATAATGGTAGGGGAAACACCGTCTTTGTCAAACTACACTGCTCAAAAAATAAAGGGAACACCTAAACAAAACAATGTAACTCCAAATCAGTCACACCTTTGTGGAATCAATGTCAGCAGTTAGTTAGTAACTTACTGAGAATCAGTTTCAGCTGCTGCTGTTCAAATGAAACACAACAGGAGGAATGAGAGACTATTACCAAGACAGCCTCTATAAGAGAGTGATTCTGCAGGTGGTGACCACAGGTCATTTCTCTGTTCTTGTCCTTTCTGGTTGGACTTTTAGTCACTTTTCATTTTGTCAGTTCTGTCACACATAGAGACATCATGAGGAGTTTTTTACAGCCCACTGAAGTTGATCAAGTAGTGCAGCTAATTCAAGATGGAACATCAATGAGAGCGGTGGCAAGAAGCTCTGCTGTGTCTCATCACAGTGTCCAGAGCATGGAATAGATACCAGGAGACAGACCAGTACACCAGGAGACATGGAGTGGGCTGTAGGAGGGCTACAACCCAGCAGCAGGACCACTACCTCGTCCTTGGTGCAAAGAGGAACAGGAGGTCCACTGCCAGGGTCCTACAGAATGACCTCCAGCAGACCAGTGATGAACATGTTTCCACTCAAACTGTCAGAAACAGACTCCATGAGGGTGGTATGAGGCCCGACGTCCACATATAGGACCTGTGCTTCCAGCCCAACACCATGCAGGATGACTGGCGTTTGATAGGGAACACTAAAATTGGCAGATTCACCATCGGTGTGCTCTTCATGGATGAAAGCAGGTTCACACTGAGCACATGTGACAGACGTGACAGAGTCTGGAGACACCGTGGAGAAGGTTATGCTGCCTGCAACATCCTCCAGCATGACCAGTTTGGTGGTGGGTCAGTCATGATGGGGGAGGCATTTCTTTGGATGGATGCACAGCCCTCCATGTGCTAGCCAGAGGTGCCCTGACTGCCATAAGGTACCAGGATGAGATCCTCAGACCCATTGTGAGACCATGTGCTGGTGCAGTGGGCCCTGGGTTCCTTCTTATTCATGACAATGCTAGGCCTCATGTGGCTGAAGTGTGTCAGCAGTTCCTGCATGATGAGAGCATTGATGTCATGGACTGGTCTGCCCGTTCCCCAGACCTGAATCCAACTGAGCACATCTGGGACATCATGTTTCAGTCAATCCACCAAGGCCACATCGCACCACAGACTGTTCAGGAGCTAACTGAAGCTCTGATCCAGGTGTGGGAAGAGATCCCTCAGGAGAACATCTGCCGTCTCATCAGGAGCATGCCCAGGTGTTGTTAGGAGGTTCTACAGACACGTGGAGGCCACACACACACTGAGCCTCATTTAGACTTGTCTTGAGGAAGATTCACTGACGCTGAATCAGCCTGTCATGTTTATTTTCTACTTCCATATTGAATTGAATCCAAATCCAGATCTCCATGGTGTAATAATTTAGATTAGATTGATCATTTTTGTGTCATTTTCTTCTAAATCAATTCCACTGTGCTAATAATAAAGTTTGTCAATGAGAATATTTAATTAATTGCGGTCTAGGATGTTATTTTAGTGTTCCCTTTAATTTTGTGAGCAGTGTATTTCATCACATTTCTCATATTTCTCCTAGTAATTTGCATCATTCAGAATAGAGCTGGTCAATATGGGCAAAAATTAATGTCTAGATATTTTTAATATAAATAGCGATATACGATATATATATTGGTATTTTTTCCTTTCCATAAAGTAATAACAAAAATATATTTGAGTCAAAGTTTTGTCCCAGTTGTCACACAGCTACATTTATTAACAACAGCTGTAACTGTACAAAATACATGTCTAAAAATAAACTATTTACATATATTAATAGTTTATTTTTAGACATTTATTTAGGTATATTAAATAATCTGTTCAGCTGGGGGCAGCTGTGGCTCAGAGGTTAGAGCAGCCATCCTCAAATGTGAGAGTTGGGGGTTCTATTCTACCAGCAGTCATATGCTGAAGTGTTCCTGAGCAAGACACTGAACATTGCCATGCTCTTGTGTGTCCCATCGGTGTATGAATGTCATGTAAAGCACTAATTAGTTTTTGTATACTGTAATTCTCAGACTACAGAACGCAGCTGTCATTAAGCTGCACATACTAAAAATGATCAATCATAATTTTGGACATGAATAATCAGAATAAACTTTATTATCATTGCACCTAGATACAACGAGAACATGTACGTACAGTTGTCCGAAAGATGGACGTAGTGCGCGAAGCTGCTGCTAATTAGCACGGCCATCTTATTCTTCTTCTGAATAATATTTTTGCTTGGATGAGAAAAGGGAAGAAAACAAAAAAGACGGGCACGATTTGAGGCATCAAAAAACCTCCCACAACAAAGCAACATAAACAGACGTTATACATGAACATATAGGCGGTGAACACAGTGAATTTTAAGGGAAGGTCGTAGCAGAGTCCAGAGCCCCCCTCAGCCATTGTCCAGATAAGAGGTGACGTTCATCTTCAGCTCAGTTGAGGTTCTGTCACATGTCCACAGCCTTGGGGGAGGAGGGGTGAGGAAACAGACAAGGCGTCTTTGGTTTTCCTAAACATGCCAGGAGGAGTTGAGAGAAGTCTGCTGTCAAGGCCACAGTTTGGGTCAGGCAGAACTCGTGCTGTTTCTGTCTTTTAAAGTCTCGCTGGTACATTTCTCTGATGGTGACTCCAAACAGCCGAATTAATGAATGAGTTGATGCCGAATTACAATGCTGTGATTGCTAGTATCACTCAGCCCTCTGTGAACAGTAAACAGCCATCAGGTGCTAATGATCCATTGTTAGGCTGATGGTCCTTCTTGAGCATGTGATCAGCTGGTTTTGGTTGTCAGCAGCAAACTGGTTGATCCACTCTGAGAAGGTGCTATTTAAGAGACTGAGCTGAATACAGCACCTCAGACTGAGGAAGTCCTCAGGATGAGAGACGAAATGTTTCTATATTTTTTATTTTTGTTGGTTTTGTTTTTTGAATGTCCAGAGGACCAGATTTAACTTGTTTTTTGGATAGATTATGTACAGTTTAGTTTGTACATGGAGTTCTGCAGACTGTTATTATTTAGTCTTGATTGATGAGCTATAATCAAATATGACAGTAGTAATAAATAAAGATTAATCACAGTTTTCAGTCATAAACAGCAGCAAGAAGAAAAGAAAAATCCTACTAACTCATGTAAAAACATTTACACTTGTAATATTCACCCTAAATATTTAAGTCTGGATGGAAGTTCATCAATAAATAAATGCATCAGTCTGTTCTGGTTACTCCAGTTCTGTTTGCACTGGAAGCACTGGGCTGTGTCGTCTCTTCTGTTTAGTCCAACATGTTCCCAAACTTTTGACAGTTCTTGTTGTTTTCAGGGCTCTTCTTCTACGCAGGATCCGTTCCTGCATAGCTACAAACTTAGCACATACGCGTTAGCAGAAGCGCTAGCGGAAGTGCTAGTGTTGTGCAACATAAAAACCTTCCAGCTAGACCACAGTGCTCTGAATAGTTTAACGAAGCTTCGAGGCAGATACATTTGCTCGAGGATTTTTTTGTAATTGAGTGATTCAAGGGATCGTTTCAGCCCTATAAGATGGTAAAGCAACGACACACACAACTCCACAAGTGTGTCGCGTCATACCCGTAGCGTGGGTGTGCAGTGTAGGCGCAAAAGCAGGTTAAAACAAGAACAACAGGAACAAAAAAAGATTGGGTCGAAGCGTAGCTCCCATCGGTGCAACCATACTGCGGGGCTCGTGTGCTCACAAATGATGAAACCAGAAGCCGTGCTAGCACTAGCAAGAGCTAACAGATCTCAGATACACTGATCATAAAGCAGAAGTCCTGAAAGATAAATGACCATGGTGGAATTGGTTTGAGGTTGGGCGATCAAGCGATGTGAATCTGATGCAGGCGGTCACTCAACAATGGCACAGTCTCAGCTTTGCTTCGTTGAATCAGCCAGCTAGTTAGCCCAGGTACCTCGATGTAGCACCTGGTCTCTGGCTCCGCAGAACCTCGCAGCAACAGTTCTCATAACTATTAGAAATAAAGCACAAACACCAACAAGGAAACGCCACAACAAAAATCAAGGAACAAAAAAACGTGCACGGGACGAGTCACCGTGCAAACTGAACAAGATAACCACCTAAAAACAATTGTTTGCTTGAAATTATATTAAAGACGTCTCAGTCTAATGTTTGCTTAATAAAAGAAGTTTAACGGTCAAATCAGCTGTATTTCAAAAGTATTCAGTGCCTCGGTGTCCCGGGAGTGCACAGACGAAGGAAACGTTTTTGAGTCTTTTATTTCAATGTTGTGATCATTTCAGATATATTAGTCTTTTACTAAGAGAAAAAAGAAACGGTTGCTTCTTAGACTGGCTTTTTGATGAGTGAGGAGAGCATACAATACAGTAACACACAGTCCAAGCAGTGTGATTTATTATTTGTTGTTTATTGTTTGAGCTGTTTTCTGCCTGCAGCTACCAGACCGGGCCATAGTTATGGCTTTAGCCTGGACAGTGACGAGCGAGAAGAGGAGTGCACGGGAAAAGCACGGCCAACAGATGATTTCAGAGAACGAAAGGAGAGGCCTGAGGATGTGCAGCGTCCAAGCTGGGAGAAGAAAACATCAGCTGATGATAGGAGGAAGAGGAGAGAGGACAGTGAGCCCAGACTCTACGTGGCCTGTGATGAGAATCAGGAGCCACCAGAGGCCTCTGACAGATCTGGTACGTCTGGTTTTCTTAGCAGATCTAAATGTCACGTTGTTGTTTTTACACTTTACTATATTAAGTTTAGCTTATTTCAATTCTAGCTTTAGAGCAGGGCTGTCAAACTCACTTACAAAAGGGGGACAAAATTAAAACCTTTTTCAAACTAAGGGCCAATTTCAGAATCTCCATCAAACCCAGTTAAGTCCAACATCTTTCCTTGGTTGCAGGTTCCTCAACAAGAGGTTGACTGGTCTCATTTGGTGTTTCCTGCTGCATTTTCAACATCATAATCAAAGATTACTGAAAAAATTCAAGTGAAAAAAGTATTTTACATTGAACATATCATCTTGGGGGCCAGAAAAATGTCCATGAGGGCCACATTTGGCCCCCGAGCCTTGAGCTTGACACATGTGCTTTACAGGGATCAGCTAATGATCTCTTATTTCTTACAGACAAGAGCCAAGCCACTTTGTGTCTTGGAATGGATCTCAACCTGGACTGGATGACTCTGGATGACTTCCAGAAGCATCTGAATGGAGAAGATGAGATTTTATCAGGGCCACCTTTATCACCCAGTGAGTCCTTTTCATCTCTATCCTAGACATCTTTGTTCTGACTGATGACTGTTGGGGGGGATAAAAAAAATATATATATTTATATATATTTATTATATATATATA